GGGGGTGTTGGTGGGGTTATTGGGGGTTCTGGAGTCTGGGCCCTCTTTTCTTTTTCTTTTTTTTTTTTGCTGCAGGGTGCTGACGACCCCTGACCGGTAGGTGCCGACCAGCCGACCATTCAAGGGGTGCCGACCAGTGAAGGGCTGCCGACCGTCAGGGTGTGCAACACTGAACCTACTGATAAATAATGTAAGTCTGGGCATTGAAATTTGAAACCAAAGCCACCTCTAAGTGCGCTTGCTTACACCTTTTTGACGACAAAGAGAATCTGAAGATATTAGTCCCTTAAATTGGAACAATACATAGTATGAAGATTAGCATGGCCTCTCCGCAAGGATGACACATAAATCGAGAAATGGATAAAATGCTGTGCTAGTCCCTGGTCGGTCCGGCTGGGGGAAGGTCGCCCGGGTACCCTCCCGGGCGGCCCGGACCGGGCAGGGCCTGGGCAGGGTCCCGGGCGATCCCAGCGCATAATATTTTAAAAAATAGAAAAAAAAAATCAAAAAAATCCGAAAAAAAAATGTTGTGTAAAATTGCAATACAAAGGACTTTTGGCTGAGGGCCACCTCGAAATTCCTTGTTAATTTCAAAAAAAAAAAAAAAGAGAAAACATGAGTCCCAAAAGACTCCAAATGTGCCCTTTTAAGCACTTTAGTCACTGTTTATACCCCCCAATCCCCCCTGGATGACCCATCACCAAAACCGAAGTTAAGACCGGATTCTGACTGCTTGGGCCAAGCGCAGTCCTGGCCTGAAGTCTTTTTTTTTTTTTGGGGATCCTTGCCTCTTTTTTGATCCGTCTGGTTTTGCCGGGCGACCCCTCCTCTGCCCAACTGGCCCGGGTGCGCCGGGCTGGGCGACGGCCCAACATAGATAAAATGTGACTACAGACAAACTGCAAAAAAAGAACATAATAGTTGCGGAATATTATTTTGGGTGATTAGAAGGAAAAAAAAAGTAAAAACAGATCACAATACATGCCAGCCAAGAGTAGGTGGTCACAACTCTCTCTATCATGAGATCCACAACCAATTTGGATGCTCGCTTCTGTCCTTAGACTCCTTACTCACTTGTTGCTTCCTTGTCCTTGTGCTCTGGGATGGTGGTGCACAGATCGCATACTTAAATGCATTGCGATATAACCTAAAGCGGATTTTCTTCAGTGGATTTTTCACTCGTGGCCATGCGTACACTATGGACACAATGTCGTTCGCCGTTTCATTCTGGTGAGGCCTTCTCGTGTATGCCATGGATGCACAGAGTTTTTTTTGGATGATAGTGTGAGCATTGCCTCCTTGTGCATTTATTTCCCCTTCATCTCTGTCATCTCTCTTACCATTTCCTTCTCGTCCAGTCAGCCAAAGGATGTTGCTATGTGTCTTTTTTTTTTTTTTTAATTAAAACGGGACCTTATGGTACCGGCTCCTTGTCCATTCTGGGGAGCGTCAGTCCGGTTCCTATTCCACCGGCGAGTCTGAAGGGATTACAATAATTACTCACTCACGCTCCTCCCCCTTAAGGTGTGGAGGACCGAAGGACGGCATTGATTGCTTCCCATAGGAAGGATGTACCATCCTTCACCCCTACCTAAGTTAGCCTGTTCAACTGGGATTTAGATCTTATCGTGATTTTGGTACTAGAATCCTGAAGTCTAGCTTAATTTTTCTTTGTTTGTAGACTGGCGTTGGTGGTAGTCTCCGTAAGGTGGGCTGATGTGATTTCAAGGGCATGTCTGAGATCTACGGAAGTGCTTGGTGTGGGGATCGATTGTATGCGGTGGGGGTGTCCTTAGAAGGGCCGGTGTTGTGGTTTACGGGATGGTTGGGTTGCCGGGGTTTGGATAAGCTTGGTGTGGTGGATATTGTCGAGGGGATTTGTGTGTGGGGGGGGGGTAATGGAGGTGTGTTGGAGGTAGATAGAGGTAGTTTGGAGGGTGTCGGTTGCGTGTAAGGGAGGGGGGTGATTGGAGTGAGGTTGTTGGGCGGGGGCGGGGGGTGGACTTCAGCTGACTCGATATTGGATTAGAGGTGGGATAGGGGGGGAATCAGGGCGCTCTGTGTCTGAGTTAAGTTCAGCCAAATTTTTAAAATTAGTCTGTCATTGTTGATTGTGCCTAGTATCCCATTGCCTAGCTTGGAGGTTGCAAACTTTTTAACTGTTTCGCTTTTTTTGTCGGGGTCAGTGGGGAGCTTGTTGAGTTGCTTTTTCCAGAGGGCTTGGGTTTCGGTGTCTGTAAGTTGTTTGATGATGATGAGTGGGTTCTCTGAGGGGGTGAGTCGTTCGTTGAAGGTGCAGTCACATCTGTTTTTCCAGAGAACCCGCTTTTCTTGATTTGTGAAGTGAGGAAGGCTTCGAAGCCTTTGAGTGGAGGTGTTTGTTTGAGGTCGAGGAATAGTGTGGCGGGGTTAATTAGGAGGGGAGAGTCCGAGATTTTATACCATGCTGCTTCTAGGCTTTGCCAGAGGGATCTAGCCTTTGGGCAGTCCATGAAGCAATGGCTCAAGGATTCAGGGGAAGCGAGGTTGCATCCCTTGCACCAAGAGTCCTGTTCCGTTCTGTTTTCGTGGTTGCGTCTGTTGGCTAACCATTGGTTTACTGGGACTGCTCTGAAGGCTATTAACCATCTGGGGCTAGCAAGGTTAACCGGTCTTGTGGAGAAGATTGTGGCCCCGGGGAGTTTAAAGTAGGTGCTGGCCAGTTGTGGTTCTTCCTTTGTCCACCTATTGTGTACTGTGTTGGATATTGACATGGGCTTAGTGAGGAGGCGATAACCTAGTTTCGGTGTGTAGTCCATTAGCCTACTTAGATTTGAGATGAGGGTAGAACGAGGGGAGAACTTCCATGACCATTCTGATGGGTCGATCTCCAGGTTAGAAACGCTGATTTGGGGTTCGTAGACTCTTTTTCTTTCTCCTTCTATGTTCTGATTCTTCTCAGGTTGTTGCTTTTGAATGCTCCTTCTGCTCTGCTTTTGGTATTGATGTAACTTACCGGGTTTCCTGGATCCTCTAGGGTATATATGTCGCAGCATATCCAACTGTTGTTCTGGGGTTCGTAGTTCCTAACTGAGAGAACTTCCTGTATTGGTGAGATGTTCGTGGTGGTAGCCCAATCACCGTGATGCCATTTTTGGTATGTTTTTAATAAGACTCGCCATTGTAGAGGAATACAGTCTACAATGTGATTTATATTAGTTTGTACATGATGTGTTCCTTTTAGTTTTTCTCGTAGGTCTCTTTCTGTTTTCCATGTTTTATTTGGGTTGTCCCAGATGTGCTTGATATGCCAAATTCCCTTTTCTAGCCGGTGCCCCCATTTAGGTTCTGACTTTGAGGGTGGGAGGCTTTTCCCTTTATCGTTCTTGATGTGTGGGTTGCTGAAGAGGGGTTGCCTGAGGACTTCGTCTTTTTGCTTTGGTCCTGTTCTGTTCTCAGGGAAGATGGTTCTCCAGGTGTGTAGAATTTGTTCCCAGAGGGATCTGGATAGGGGGGTGTCCTCGGAATGGGTCTGTTTCACTTTTGGGAGTGGCCAGGATTTATTGAAAATCCAGAAAAGGCCTGTCATGTTGGTTGGAGTAGTAAATGGTGCCAGTTCTCTGATGTGGTTTAGGACTAGTGGTGACCAGTGCAGATTGTCCTGGAGGGCTAGTCTTATCATCCATTTGATTTGTAGAGCCTGGATTTGGCGGGATGGGTCTATAAGGATGTTGCTATGTGTCCTTAAAAAAAGAAAAGAAGAAAAAAGCACTTTGAAGTTTGAAGTTGAAGAACTTGAAGTTTGAATCACAATCATTAAATCATGATGTTCCGGTAAATGTTTTTTGAAGTTTCTTTCTTTGGATGCCAATCATTGAATCTTTTTTTTTTTTTTTTTTAAACAGAACCTTATGGTTCCGGCTCCTCATTTATTCTGTTGAGCGTCCGTCCGGTTCCTATTCCACCAGCAAGTCACAAAAAAATACTTGGAGGATGCACTCTACGCTCCTCCCCATTATGGTGGGGAGGCCTGAGTAGACGGCATTGATTACTTCCCATGGGAAGGATATACCACCCCTCACCCCTGTCTACTCTGGCCAAGCTAACTTAAGCCCTGACGTGCCCGAGTCCTGGGTCTTGGATTCTGACTGGCCTCCGAGTCTGCACGCTGAACAGAGTTCCCCTCAGCCCTCCAGCTTCCCAAACCGTGTCTATTATCCTGAACCACTGGGAAGTTTCCAGGCTGTTGGAAAGTTTTTTGTTTTTTGGAGTTCCCCCCCACCCCTCCTCCAGCCCCCCTCCCCCCCCCTCCCCCCCCCGAAGTTTCCATTGATATTCTTGTAACCTGGTGTCATGTCTTCAATGGGGGAATTTAGATTCCTGTGTCCAAGGTTAAAATAAAATAAAATGAAATGATGTTACCATCTCCTCCGCCATGTAAAATATGGGTGCCCTTAGTTTGATTGCAGGAGGGAAAGGGAGGGGGAGGGAGGGGGAGTGGGGGAGAGCTTGCTCCGAGGACAAGGGAGGGGGTGTCGGTATTCAATCAGAAAGCCCTTGTAATAGGCTCGCATTCTAGTGTAGAGGGTGGAACTAGCTTTCCTAGTCGGTTTTTTTTTTGTTTTTTTTTTATTTTTATTTTAAAGCAAGCAGTGCTAATATTTCACTTGAAAGCTGAGAAAGTTAGAACGGGCTCTCACTAATCGATCACAGTTGTATAGAAAATAGAATGGTAGAATAGAGCAACAGCCTGAGATGAGTATCTCAATGAGGCTAGCTTAGGCAGAGGGGAAAGGGTGGTACATCCTTAAAATTCGGGAAGTAATCAATGCCGTCCTTCGGGTCTTCCTACCATAAGGAGGAGGAGGAGTGTGTGTAGGTACTCAGTGTAATTCTTTCTGACTTTCCAGTGGAATAGGAACCGGACTGATGCTCCACCGAATGGAAAGGGAGCCAAAACCATGAGGTTCTGTCTTTTTTTCTTCTCTAATCTCTAATACTCTAAAGGAAGAAGCGGGTCTCGCTTGACGGGCCCAACAGAAACCGGGCGCCGCCGTGCGGGCCCGCTCCGAGGCAGTGGGGCGAGGGGGAACCGTGGCGCGTCGGTGCGAAAGCCGACCCGTCGGTCCATGAGGCGGGACTGGGGCGCTGCAGGCCTGCGTGGCGGCGTTCGGTGGTGGGCGGATGCGGGCCTGAGTGCGGTGTGGTGCGTGGGCCTGCGCCACGCGGTTCTTTTTTTTTTGCCCGTCGCTCGGGCCGCGGGGGACCAAACAACGTTATCGGAGCGTTGCTTTCCGGGGATCGACGGTGGCCGTGTG